ATGATATTGAGCCATGGCTGTTGCCACAGCTGCAGCTACTGCAACATTTAGAGTTGCCATATCAATTTGAGGAGTAGGTGGTGGTGTTGGAGTTACCGGAGGATTGCGTCTTGTTGATCGGCGTGGAGGCATCTTTTAACTAAAAGTTTACAAAGATGACGATATTGGTAAGAATAGAGAAATTGATGAGAGTGACTCATGGACTAAATCTCCATAGCCCAACAACACAATTGAATAGTATGATTGAATGTAGATCTAGTACTAACAGATGATAGTATATGGATATTAAATTTCCATGAGATTAGATATCTGTCAAATATACTGGTATTACAGATGTAACAAGTTCGGGAAAAGTGACCTAGAAGTAGGTCTTACATCCAACTAAGATGGGAAAATTTTGACAGACTAAGACCAAATCATGACTTAACAGATCTAGGGTCTTCAGAAAGATAGGCAATTAAACTAGAATTTTTACATAAACTAAGTTATATCCAAAAGAGAAAGCTGAGTAGGCTCTATCTACGACGAGAGCCACTAGAGTGAGTCCTTGATTCTGACAGACGGCGCTCCATGTCTCTCATGCGCCTTTCCGTCATTGCCTGTCGAGCTCGAAGTTCCCTGACTTCAGCTCGGGTTTCAGTAAGTTCGCTCTGCAGGGCTGTATTATGGTTCTGAGTTCTTTCATGAGCAGACTCTAGCTGACGAATGCGGACTCTATTAACGCCAGAGTTGGCGTCAATTTCCACGACTCGGTCGATGGTTGCTCGATCTTGTTCGGTGTTCCGAGAAATCCTACGAACCATGATGGGTAGGACTCGGTCAGCTGAACCTCCTTCGCTTAGATTGTAGAAGCTTCGGTCCCCATTGTAGGGTATGGGTTGACCCTGCTCTTGACTCCATCTGTTCAAGTTTGTTGCCCACAGAGGTGTGAGTCCTTGAAATGCTGGACGAGGGTTCGGGTTCGGAGCTACTGGGGGTAGGTTGTTGACTTCAGGTTCGGAGTCAGAACCATCAGAAATGCCTTCAACGAGGTGATCATCCAAAGGGATTGGATAATCATCTTCTGGCTCTTCTTCAAGCCATCCTACATTGCCTTCGTTTGGGAAGTATGGATCTCCGGGAAGATGGAATCCAACCATGATATCTACGCGAGAAAAGGGGTATAAGAAATAACTAAATAGACGTACTAATTAGATATTTATAAGAAAATCTTTATCAGTTACTTCAATACTTGTTTAGTGTATACCAGTTATATGAAATCAAAACAGGATAGACCTTCGAATAAGTGACCCTAACTCGAAACCCACAACCAAACAAGGAACAGGGAGTAAAGCAAAGATTACAGATTCTAAGTCTATGACATCCCAGTTACATATAATCTTAGCGTATCCACTTAGCAACTATTGACCTACTAATAAAGACCTTTTTAGTTTGCACATAAGTAAATTATAGTAATACAAAATACTCCTATAGTATTTTAAGTTTATGTTATGTTCTATTGTTTTCATTGTAGTAGTATTGGTAAGTTTTTAGACTTGTTGCAACCTCACAACCACCCTTAGGCACATGCTAGTCACTCCTCGGATAATATAGTTGATCAGGCTATATCTTCCCAGGTTTGACCATATGTCTCTAAGTCTAATTGTGTTGCCCAACAATCGTAATACTTTTGTTCTGTCCTAGTGACACTGATTTTAGTATGAATGCAGGTATGTATACTTGGTTATATATTTTATTATTTAAAAGTATAAACTCTTGGTCAAAGTATTTTAATCCCATTGTGTTTATAGTTTGTATATCTTTTATGGGTTGATATACTCGATTCACTATAAACAATGCTCTGATACCAATCTGTCACACCCCAAACTGGAACGACAAAATTGTTCGGGGGTGGAGGACGTCATGTACAGTATCACAACAATGGATAGTAGTAAACAAGCAACAACATCATCCATTGCATTAATAATATAATTTCATACAAGTGTGTTCTGTGAAGTTTATAAGACACCAAAAATGTAAATAAAAAATAAAAGATGAGTCTTGAACGAGCTCCATCTTCTCAAAACCTGGCATCGATACCTGTCTACTGATGACCTGAGAATACAAGTTATTTTGAAAGAGTTTATCAGCTTTAAAGCTGGTGAGTTCATAAGCATTTAGTGTCATTATTTGTATGAAAATGTCTTTAAGTACTTGATGTATAAGTTTGTAAATGTTTGTATCTCCTAGAAAATCCTATATTTTCTACTAAAAGTAGCCTTCTACCAAGGCATCAAATGAAATGTATGTTTGTTTCTTGTAAAAGTGTATATTTTCCCAAGTGTGACTATCATTAATCAAAATATAGTTTTACATTACCCTTTTATGTGAAAAGATCACAATGTGAATGCAATGGGGAAATAATGAAGTACTGTAGTGTGGTATTATAGTAACTACTGCTGTACTTTCTACCTTAAACCAATTGATAATTAAGGTATGATGTGACCTGGTTGTACCATACTATCGACTAATAACACGACGATGAAAGACGTCGGAAGAAATGACATTTGGCACCCGTAGACTTGCAAGTCCCACTGTAGCGAGCAACAAGGTGTAGGATAGTCAATCCAGTATAGATCTATACACAAATTCACGCTCTCCCTCTAGGAGATTCTGGCTACAAATCGAGCCATGACAGGTGATGCCATGCCCCGAACGACGACCCACATTTATGTTATTGTATAATTGTATATGTAATGTATGTACTAGCTGTATTGTTGGTGTTCTTGGTGTTCTCGAAGAACACTTGGTGTTCTTGGTGTTCTTGGTGTTCTTGAAGAACACTTGAAGATCTAAACAAAAGGAGTAATTTCATGGATGAAATCATGTGTTGTTACTTAGGTAGTGTATTGAATCATCTTAACATAAGGAGAAACACTCACCACTTGAAGATCTATAAGAAAATTCGGATGATAGTTGAGAGAGAAGTGTGTTCTTGAATTAGGAGTGTGAAAAGAGTTTAAGGAAAGATGAGTTCTACTATATACATTCGAGTGTGCTGCCAGGAGGGTGTGTGCGGTTGGCTGTGTGCGGCTGGCTGGCCGCACGCTCGGGTGTGCGGCCGCACACACATTGCTTGGTGTGTTTTGCCCGTTTTTGCGATGCTACACACATTCTAACCCTTCCTAAGACTCATATCTTTATTATACTAAGCCTAATGCACTTATATAGACCCAAAACTTCCTTACAAAATAGCAAACACGAGGCTAACTTTAATTGATTTGAATAATAGTACTAAATGAAAATTTCGGATTGTCACAATCACTTATCTAAGGGCTGAATCTTGATTAGATCAAGAGTTCGGTAGTTGCATTGGATGGCTAACTCTCTGTTGATTACTGGAGAAATATTGGTCCTCGTATAGTTGATGACTTGTCCAAGTGGGAGACTGTTGGAATAGTGTCCAAGGTCATTAACTATTGGTAATATTTCTAATAATAGCAGGGTCCTTTTGGGTTTCCCTCAAGACCCAAATTGAGTAGAATAAATAAATGAGAAATTGGTTTATTAATTATTATGGTTAATAATTAAATAGAAACTAATTGGAAATATATTTTGGAAATATATTATGGGAATTAATTAACAGTTTAATTAATTAAAGGGTTGAATATTCATTAATCGATAGTTGGTTAATCAGGAATGTTCCAGAACCTTTATGGAATTAGGGTTGGATGAAAATCACTCCATCCCACATGGGAAAGGAGTGAAATTTCGTGGTTATGCTCCCATCCCACATGGGAAGGAGTACTAAACCTAAGGAGGCATCCAAGGCTATAAATAGGGCCTTAGGGGTTTCATTCCTCCTTGCACCTTGGCTTGAAGTATTCGCCAACCCTTCTTCCTCCCCCTCTTAGGGATGATTTCTAACCCCTTTGGGTTTGTGAAATTGACCATTCTCCTAGTTATTTTTATTCCAGTCTTTGGTGTCATTGGGTGTGATACCATTAGAGGGATTCTGGTTTGGGTCCTTTCATCCAAGCAACTTCATGGAGGTTCAAGATCTCAAGCATGGAGATCAAGGGCTACATAAGAGGTATGTTTTCTTACTTATGTTTTAGTTTTCTAGGGTTGATGTAATTAGCATGAAGCCATAGATCCATAGGATACATGTACACTTAGGTATATCGTTGTTTCGATTTTTCCGCTGCCTAGTTTAGAGTGTATTTGATGCGTAGAAAACCCAACAATGGACACCGAGGCAACAAAACCACCTCATGAACCAAAAGAAGAGTCGAAGGATGATATTGACCTTTGTTGGTGGTGATCCTCCGAAAGAGCCAGATGCTAAAGTCCAACCTCCTCTAGCTTCACTTCATCTCCATTCAGAGACAATGCTGACGCGGGTGCTCCCCCTTCACCTCTGGTGACTTCTTGGGTCTTTTTCCCGGAGTGGACTCTCACTAGTGAGTCTCTACTTATGCAACATTCAGTAGTGTATGAGTGGAGTAGTCACGCGTTCCCTTCGGCCACCATAGAAGCATTGGAGTTCCTCTCCAACTCCCACATTTCTAACAGCTTGAAGTATGTGGCGACCCAGGTTTCCCCTTACTTGGTGGCAGCGGATGGGCGCCTGTATCAGTCACTTTAGCTCGGATTTGGTGGACTTTACAGTCCTCAAGGCTGAGCATGACGAGCTAAGGGAGAGGGTGTTGGGCCTTGAGATCGAGAAGCGTAAGTTCGAGGGGCGCTACAACATGATGGCTGGGGAGAAAGCGTCTGTGGAATAGCATGTAGCAAGTTCAGACGCGGAGGTGGAGCACTTGCCGCAGCAGGTGGAGGGCTTGGAGGTAGAGAAAGAGGAATTGGAAAGGAGAGTAAAGCTGCAGGGCGGGCAGTTGGTTGTAGAGGAGTCAAAGAGGAAAGTTTTGGAGGAAGATGTGGCATGGCTCCTCCAAAAGGGCGTCGTCCGTGTGGTGGACTGGGTGATTGAGAGCAATGAGTTCTCATTGGGGGTCAGATGGATGAAGGTGGCATGTATGGACGCTAGTGTGGAGGGTGGAAAACATGTTGTTTGGGATTATACCCAGGTGATGCACGCCTCTGTGAAAACCTTCATGGAGACAGACTTTTCCTCCTACCTTCATCTTGGTGAGCTCGATATTGAAGGCCTCCGCCGATTATGCATCGATTCTGAAGTTGAAGATAACCAACCTAAAGGTAGCTCCTCCAAAGGCGGTTCTTCCTCCAGTCCTGTCGGTAAGTGATCCTTTCTCTCGTATTTGATGTCTGAGAAACAAGTTTGAACAATATTTTGTTTTGCTTTTGATCCTGTATAGCCTTTGTCTAAGTCCGAGGAATGTCTGACAAACAATACACTCTTACTTGCGTGCTTATGTTATGGTTGTTCTTAGTTTAGAGTTTCTTCGCTTCTCATCCTAGGTGTTTTATGTTGGCCATTCTGGGTTTGAATTCGTCCCAAAGGTTAATGTTGGCCTTTGGGGTAGCGGGCTTGTGTTTTTTTTCTTTTTTTTGCACAAAAAATTATTGATGTTTGCCTTAGGAATTTGTCGAGTGTGATTCCCACTCATTTGGCAGGTTTTAAGGACCCAACGTATGCTCTTGTTTGGTTGATGGGAGTTGTTTGTTCTGAGCCGTAATATTTCAGCTTTAGCCTGGGGGCTCGCTCTAGTAAGCTTAGGCCTCATCACTCTTTAGAGTCACGAGCCTATATTTTTGGGTCAAGGCTTTTGCTAGCCTTCTCACGTGAACCTTGGCTGGCCCATTTTTTTATTAAGATATTCCTTTTTGAGTATGGATTTTCAATTACCTTTTCAAGACTTTTTTCTACGTCTTGGGCCTAAGAGATTTGCACTCTGGTCCTAGTCGTCTAAGTCAGCCAATATCTTCACCTTGAGGCGTTTAGGAATTAGGTATTTTTGTATCAAGGGAAATGTTATGAGCCTTTAAATCCTTTGTCCATGTCATGGGCAAAGGTGATAGTCCTTTGAATTAGATTGAGGCATTTAGGGAAAGGTTATGAGCATTTAAAACCTATGGTTGCATTCTTGCACCGATTTCGCTGAAGTGACGTGGATGATCAGTCCTTGTTATCACTTGGTAAATGTGCACAACTTCTTATTAAAGTGGTACCAAGCTTTGATATTAATAAAAATCTAAAGTGTTTTTTGAAATAGTTAATTTTTGTCATTCTATTGATAATACTTTTGAGATATCAACTTTGTCAAATGAGAATAACAATGGCTAAATATTGGCACGAAGGTGGGCCTAATACTAGAGCTAGTTGATGGGGTTTGATTATCCGCTTGGAGTAAGATCACATTACCCTCGCCCTCAGCGTGCCTTGTTCTTCCTGTTCTCCTTGTTCTAGGAGTACAAGTGGTGCAAAATTTGCGTGTTCCAGGTTCGGGGGATGGGCCTCCCGTTTTGTGCTTCTAGAAAATATGCTCTGTTTCGATATGTTTCTACAATCTTGTACAGGCCTTCCCATGTGACACTTAGTTTCCTTGAGATTGTACATGGATGGACTCGTTCTTCCTCAACATCCATTCGCCTACCTTGAAGTTCTTCACTCGTACATGTTTATTGTAGTAATTTTCGGTGCGGGCTTTATAAGAAGCTTGGAGGAGCTGGGTGGATTCGCGTTTCTCATCAAGTGTGTCCGGGTCTTGACGTCACCTACTTTCATTGGCATTTTCTTCGAAGTCCGTTACTCGTAGCGATCCTGCCAATATTTCAAGTGGAAGAACTACTCTGTGCCATACGTCAAACTGAATGGTGTCTCTCCAGTGATAGATATTAAGGGCGTGCAATAAGACCAAAGCACCATGGTCAATTCTTCTACCTAGACCCCTTTAGACCTCATCAGGCACTTTTTAAGGTCGTTGGCGATGATCTTGTTTGATATCTCGGTCTAGCTATTGTCTTGGGAGTGTGCCATTATGGTAAACCGGCGATGGATTTGTTTTTCTTCACACCATTATTTGAAGGGACTTCCTTCAAATTAAGTGCCATTGTCACTAATCAGGAACCTTGGAGTGCCAAACCTTGTGAGGATGCTTTTCCACATGAAAATTTATCATTTGTCTCCAATGTGATGGTGGTCAGGGGCTCAGCCTCGATCCACTTAGTGAATTAATCGATATCGACCAAAAAGAACTTGGATCTGCTCGTGGCGATGGGGAATGGACCAAGAATATCTAAACCACATTGGTGAAAGGGCCAGGAGCTGCAGAGACAGGTAAGTGGTATGGCGGGTTGGTTTTTGAAAGGAGAAAAAGCTTGACACTACGGGCACCTTTGGGTAAGCTTGGCTACATCCTTGTAGATTTCTAGTCAATATAACCCAAGACAGAGTATCTTTCCAATGAGTTCCTGTGCGCCCTCGTGTGCTCCGACTTCCCCTACGTGGCTTTCCTCCAAAAGCGACCGTCTTTCGGAGTTTGTTACGCATTTAAGCCACAGTGCTAAATATCCCCCTCTTGTATAATTGCGTATCTGTTGCAACTAACTGTGATGCCTTGATCTTGATCCTTCTAGCCTCTGTGGGGTCGTCTGGGAGGATCCCATGCAGTAAATATTCTGTGAAGGGTACGGTCCAATCTGGAGATATTGTGATAACACCAGTTTGTTTGTTATCAATGCTTCTTTCCGGGACAATTTCCACTAGGATCTTCTTGGTTAAGTGATCGAACGATGTCGAGGCTATCTTGCTAAGAGCATTGGCCCTCGTATTTTCTCCTTGGGGGATCTACTTGATCGAGAAGCTCTTGAATGATTACGCCAACTCTCACATTGCGTTGAGTTACTTTTGCATCCTTTGATCCTTGGCCTTGTACGTGCCATTGACCTGGTTGGTAATGAGGAAAGAGTCACTGAGGGATGCAAAGTGTTTCGCTCCAACTTCTCGAGCTAGCCGAAGACCTGCTAGGAGTGCTTTGTATTCTGCCTCATTATTGGAAACCTAGAAGTTTAAACACAAGGCATACGTGATTTCATCGCCATTAGGGTTCTTGAGGATGAAGCTTGCTCCTGAACCCTCCTTGCTTGCAGCTCCATTGGTGTGAAATTCCCAATTGTCTTGAATTTCCTCTGGCTCTGAGGTATCTATTGGGAGAACAATCGGTACATTCTTGAGTGTGTCGGGGATCTCGACTAGGAAGTCTGCTAGTGCCTGAGCTTTGATGCCAGTGCGTGATCGATAATCTATGTCATGCTCCCCTAGCTCAATCGCCCACTTTTTGGACGTCCTGACTTCTCTTGTCTGAACAGGATTTTCTTTATTAGATAACTGGTCAGAACCTCAATCCTGTGAGCTTGAAAGTGGCGTCTCAGTCGCTTGGCTGCATAGATTAATGTGAGGACCAACTTTTCTATGATTGGGTAATTGAGCTAGGGACCCTGTAATGCTCTACTCACAAAGTGTATTGGCAATTGCTTCTTGTATCTTTCAACAGTTAGCACCGATGATATGGCTTCACCAGATGCTTCCAAGTACATCTGCAAAGTTTCTCCCCGCAAGGGGCTAGCCATGGCCGGGAGACGGTACAGGGCTTCTTTCAGATGTTGTAGAGCTTTGTTGGCCTCTGGTGTCCATTATAATTAGTTTTTATCAATGCACCCTTTCAAAGTTTGGAAAAGTGGATGGGCTTTCTCGGCAGGCCTGGCGATGAATCTGCCAAGTGCTGTTAACCTTCCATTGATCTCTTGCACTCCCTTGAGGTTGTGAGGGGTTTTAGAGTCGAGGAGCTCCTGCATTTTGGCATCGTTGGGTGATGTTTTCTCATTGGTTATCTGATAACCTAAGAACTGGCCTTCCTCCATCCCGAAAGTGCATTTTCCCAGGTTGAGTTTCATCTGCACCTTTACTAAGGTTTGAAAAGTTTCCTTGATATTGGGGAGTAATGCTGCTTCGTCATGGATTTTGATAACCATATCATTGACGTATACCTTGACATTCCTACCAATTTGGTTTGCAAACACTTTGTCCATTAGGCACTGGTATGTTGCCCCGACGTTCTTGAGACCGAATGGCATTTTACGGTAGTAGAAGGTGCCACGATCGGTATGAAAGGCCATTTTCTCCTCATCTTCTCTTTTCATATGGACTTGATGATAGCCCTTGTAGGCATCGAAGAAGCACTTGAATTGGAATCCTTCTAAGGATTCAACCTTTTTGATCTATTTCCAGGAGGGGGGGGGGTAATGATCCTTCTGGCAATCATTGTTCAAATCGGAGTAGTCAATTCACATTCGCCATGATCCATCATGCTTCTTAACCATCACTAGGTTTTCTATCTAGGTAGGAAAATTGACTCCTAGAGGATGACTGCATCCACTAGCTTTTCCACCTCTGCGTTGATTGCGTTACTTCTATCACCCGCTTGCCCCCTCTTTTTTCTTCTTGATGAGGGTTCTTCACAAAAGAATGTTCAAGCTATGCTCGATGACCGTGTGATCGAACCCTGTCATATCTGTATATTGCCATATGAAGACCTTGGAGTAACGCTTCAAGAGGGAGACTAGCTTTAGTTTTATTTCTTCCGATAGGTTGGAACCTATTCAGATTGTTTGCGTCGGGTAATCTGGGTGAATGATGTGATTTTCTGTTTGACAATCTTCCTTTGAATTTTTCGTGGGTTAATGGAAACTATTGCGGCCGACCCAACATGTGTGCTAAACTTGACAATACCATGGATTGTTGATGTTATGGCCTACAACTGGAAGAGCACCGGTCACCCGAGCAAGATGTTGGCTCTTATGAGAGACGCATCACTGAAAATTCAATCGTTCATGTGATCTTATCCTTCCCATCGTGACTGACCAAAGTGAGTGGTAAATGTATGGTTCCCAGCAGCCGTAGGCTATTCCCTATGAAGCCTTTTAACAGTCCACTTGTAGGGGCTTTATTCCTTCCTTCCAAGAGGTGGGAAACTGCCTAAAGCAATGTTCATACACTATGTATGTACTGCTACCGTTGTCTATGTAGACACGGTGAACTTGCGTTTGGCGTATGTAAGCAGTGATCAAGAGTGGATCCCTGGGATCCCAGTTTGGTAGCCTTGGATCATCTATCGAGAATTTGATATTGAGTATGTTACCATATAATACCTCAGTTTTATCCTTAGCTTTGTAGGGCTCACCTCTTTTGCGGGGCCTGTCGATGGTGAAGATGTCGCTCTTTTTCTCTGGACGCTTGCATGCGTCTCTTTGAGTTCGGTCATTCTTCTAATTAGCATCGAACTTGGATCTCAGATCCTTTGTGATATCAGAGAGGTCGCCCTTTAGACTCTTTTTTCAATCTCTTTCTTCAACACCATGCACTCACCA